ACCGACGGATACAAAACAGCAAGAGAATTGTTTGCTCCTGAACAAGATCAAATGGATTTAAAACACAGCTCTTCTGTTGAAGAACTTGATGAAAGTAAAGAAGAGATAATTCCAGATGAATCTATCATCCAAAGGATAAATTCACACAAGGATCTTAAATCGTATCAGTTGGGAAAGCAACTGTCTTGCAAATGGAGCACAGGAGCTGGACCTCGTATCGGATGTTTGAGGGATTACCCCTCACAGCTGCAATCCCATGCTTTAGAACAAGTGAGCTTGTCCCCGAGAAGTGCTTGCCGTCTCAAAATGAACTTCCCTTCAAGAGCATCAACTCCAACGAGCCTGAGCCGCGTAATGCAGGTTTCCTGTTCCCTTTCTCCTATGGGGAACAAAACTTTATCTTGCCTCAATAGCAAATATTCCTCTCCACCACATAAAGAACCCTAACTTCATGTTCATTTGAACTAGGATTAGTTTTTTTTTTCTTTCATTAGTCTGTTCTTTCACTGTGAATAGACAAAATGACATAGAGATTCTTTCCTTGATTCTTTACATAAGAAAACTTCCATAGTATTTTTTTTTCCTATTCAACTGTACACAAGTTTTGTTCATCCTAGTGGTAGATTGCAATATGCAAATTGTAAAATTTTGAATTCCAATACTTATTTGTAAGTGGAAAAGAAAGAAATGAGAAACAGAAAAAAGAAAGGAAATCATTCATTCTTTAACTATGGTATTCTTAGCTTAATTTTTTTTTCTTGAGAAGTTGATCTTGTTGTTGTACTCTGACAGTCACAAAGGGCTGAGCTCCCACTTATGTTGCTCGGACTCTCTAAAAATGATGCTGCATAGCTGTCGGATCCTCCAAATATGCAAATATGCACTACTTTTGGAGGATCTAACACAAACTTAGTTGCACTTTTGAAGAGTCCGAGCAAGTCCTTAGTACACATGGTAAATATTTAGCCATGAGTAAATTGAAACCAAGTTAAAATCTGAGTTTAGCACTTTAGGTGTTATCTCACTTGTGGATTGAGCCTTTGAAGACTACAAGCTTTTGAGTGAAAAAGTTAGTTTTGAACAAAGTTCCCTTGTTCTATAATTAGTTTGCATTGTTCTTGTTGTTCTTGATAACCGGTTAGTTGTTGATTACAACATATAAACTAGGTGGATAAAGGTCCGTTCCTCTGCCCTTTTTCCATGTAAGACCTGGTTTTCCAGTAAGGTTTGAGCCCCGACGTGCTGCTCTTTGTGTTGCTCGGATTTGCCAGGAATGTTTCTGTAGCTGTATTGAATACTCGAAAACTATACTACTTTTGGAGGATCAGACACATGACCATCAACATTTTTGAATAGTCCGAGCAACATAAGCTGCTCTTATCACACATCATGTGTTGTACTACCTTGGACATTGAACCAAAACACTAGGGGTTGTTTGGTTTTGTTAATTTCCTAGTTTATGTTAAGATTAGGTACTGTTGACATGATAAACTGACATAAAACATGCCTCTTTAACAAAGTCAAGTGAAATTAACATTATTTCTTTCTGACAATTTGTTGTTAAGCAAATAATAGAGGCAGTTTTGATAAGACTGAATCACAGGTCATTAGCATAACTACTAATTAATTTCTTTAATACTCAATCATTATGATGTGCTTACAACCTCTTGGAAGTGAAAAAAATATATGATTATTAATGAAATCCCAATATTTAAGAAATATGTTAAGCACATGTCCTTGACCTAGATCAAGATTCAAAGGATCAGATGTTCGTACATTATACATATCTTTAGTTTAAGACAACAAGATGCAAACATTTTTCTTATACTTCGTGCACAGTCAAACTAAGACATGTGAAATGAAACAACAATAGTAGATGATTTCTCACCATCTACCTAAGCATTTGTGGGGCAGAGTTACTCGATATCTATGCATGCACGCAAGCTGACTCGACACTAGAAATCATTCTTGAGACATGAGAAGAAGTGGAACCTAATCTAACATATGTAAAGACAATATGATGGCTATATGTTGGATGAGAAATTGCATTATTTCAAAAGCCAATTGTTACTGTCTATGAGATTCAAAACATGGGATTGTTAAAAGTACAGACAAAACTGGAGAAAAAAAAACAAAATACATCTTTTTTTCTGCAAAATCTTCAATTATAGACCTTAATGTTTGTTGGATAAGTTCATGAACTTGTCAATAATTAGGGAATATTGACAAGTAAATGCTTATTCTATTTTCCTAAAGGTTGCATGCACTTATATATCATGCTATATACACATTAAAAACTTGCAACATGAGCTATCATGTAAGTATTCTTGGTTTCCACCAATGTTCCATACCTGTATTAGAGCTTGATTAAATTTAGATTCGCGCCGAGAAGTTCTCATTGATAGGTAAATTAGTCTCTAACAAAGGCAACTTCCTATCTAGTGCTCGAACCTGAGACATCTGATTAATAATGGATGAGTACTAGAGCCCGACTAAATTTAGATTCACACTGAGAAGTTCACATTGATAGGTAAATAAGTCTCTAACAAAGGCAACTTCATATTTAGTGCTCGAATCTGAGATATCGATCTGATTAATAATGAATTAGTACTAGAGCCCGGTTAAATTTAGATTCGCGTCGAGAAGTTCACTAGGTAAATTACTCTCTAGCAAAGCCGACTTTATATTCAGTGCTCGAACTCGAGACATCTGCTACCATGATCGTTTTTGGTGGAGGGATTACTTATTGGTCCAACACATTAGTGGTTTAAATAATTGTTGTACCATTTGTAAAGGCCATCATGTGTTTTTCTTTTTTGAACTTTCCTTTTAATGTTTTTTTTTTTTGTTTTATTTGAGATAAAAAGAACATTAAGAGTATAAAGTCTAAGGTTTGATATCTACTTCCAGCTCATTAGAATACTTGGAGTTCAACAATTGGTTTAAGTGTTAATTGAAAGATTTGTGATCTTAAATATGAAGATTTCATATCTAGGAAGTTTATTCAATTATGGATAATTCTTCTTAAATTATTGTTTAAAAGATCTATGGAAGATTTGCATATTAACTAATATCCAAATATCTTAAGAGTTTATTGGGGAAAAACAAATTCAATGTAACTTGTTATTTTTGATAGTTAAAATATAACTTGTAACTTATAGATATGTCTATACTCTTTTATCTTTAATTAGATGTTTCAAGTTTGAGCTTTGAGTATGAAGTTTATCTTTGTTATGGAGTGTTTTTAATTAAAATATAAGAGTTTTCGGTGTGAATCTGAATTTTATCGAACCTTATAATATGAATAAGAAATTTTCTGTATTCCTTTATTCTTCATAAGAAATTTTCAGTTCGAGCTTTGAGTATGCAGTATCTTTGTTCTGGAGTGCTTCACTTCAAACATAAGATTTTCGACGCGAATCTGAATTTAATCGAACTTTAATATGAATATATCAATGACAGGTGAAAAGAATGAATTATAGAAATACATGCTTAAGCCATTTTTTTTTTACAATTATTCTAACCTTTTAGTTTCACATCACTTATTCCAATTAATATTATAACATTATTATTATCTATTTTTAATAGCAAGAAAAAAATTCATTATAATTTTTGAAATCAGAACACAAACCTATTTCTGCTATTCCAAATTCCACAAACAACATACTTTCTTTACTCTTATTACTTTAATTAAATTTGTTAAATTTCAAGTAAGAGTAAAATAATTTGATTTTTTTAAGTTCAAATTCTTACATGTGGCATTAATTAGTTGAGCAGACACAACAACCATAAGACAAAATCATAATGTAAGCACTTTCATTGAATAAAAAGATTTTGCTTAATTATAATATATGATTAGCCTTGTTAATTAGAGCTGGCACATTTATTTTAAACAATTAATAGTAAACTTTAAATTTAAACTTGCACTTTGAACTCGTACGGATATAATATTTAGTTGTAATAATTATAATAATAATCTAAGATCCATGCATTTAATTTGTTGATTGAATTATTGCATAATTTGTATACTACGTGGACTAATCTTTGCCTTAAAATAATTAATTTGGACTTTTGTGTGTTATTTATCAAGTTTAAGTTATATATATTATCATTATACAAATTTTTTCTATGTAAATTAGATCATCTTTACCTGTTATAGATAATTTTTGAATGATCTGTGAGTGTAAATTTTCTTGAAATTATTTTAAAGTGAGGTTAAAATCGTTCACTTATTATATTGTTTCGTCATAATGAACTGCATCCCACAAGCAATAATCTATACTTCTATTCCATAATAAATAGTGATTACTGACCATTTTTCAGGCACTTCTTTAAAAAAATAGTTAATGTCATAAAATTTCAAATTTAATACGTGATATGAATAGATATTTGTGAATTTTAACCCCTATTCCATTAACGTGTTTGGGATAAGAACAAGAATATTACACATCTCACATTCTTTTGATACAATTTTCAGTTGATGGTCATTAAAATCATTTTTTCCCTCCGTCTCAAATTACTTGTCACATTTTTTTTTCGAGAATTAAACTACATAAATTTTGACCAATATTTTAAAATATATTTTTCTTCATATTGATATGAGAAAAACTGCTTCTTATAATACTTTTCATGAAGTTTTCTATTACTAACATTTTAATTATAGAATATTAAACTAATTAAATTTGATTCAGCTCCGAATATTAGTCATTAAATCTGATTCAGTTTTGAATATTAGTCAAATTAACTTTTAAAAAAACGAAGAACAAATATTTTGAGACGGATGAAGTATATAATTAAATATATATACACTTTTAATATAACTTCTCTTCAATTAAAAAGTTGTACTTGTAGATACTAAAGGGATCAAACTTCACATAAAGAAAAGCTTAGGGACCAATTCAGCATTTAAATTACATCATTTTACCCATTACCCGAGAGAATAGTGGAGCCCTAATTTCATCAGTGAAATCAGCAGAAGCAAAAAGGGATTTTTTTTTACTAATAATTTTTTTGTTTTGTTTTGAAGTTTCAAAAGCATAATAGAGAAACCCCATTTGGCTAAAATTCAAGGATTTGCAGCTGAAAGGTATAATTTTTTTCTCCTTTGCTTCATTCTTTACTTACAGATGAGTAAACTGTATGTTCTTTTTTGATAGTATAATGAGGTGTTTTTGAAGTATTAGATTTGTAAGTGAAAAAAGGTTGAATCTTGAAACTCAAAGATAGCTTCTTTTTGATTTATTTGCTAAGTTTTGTGGGAAAAAGTTTGTTTTGCTTTGGTGGGGTTTCTGTTTTGTCCCTTTTGTAATAACAACAACAACTAACTTAGTGTAGTTTTACAAGTGGAGGCACTTGCACCTACCTTTGTTGGGGCTAGAGAGACGGTTTCCGATAGATGCTCGGCTCAAAAGATGTTTTGACCCTTATTGCATTTGATGACATTCTTAGGAATTGATTTTTGCCCCCTAAATCAGTCCAAGATTATGTTTTGGACTTGAGTTCCTCAATTTCGCCAATGAAATTGATGGTTTTTCTTCAAAACCGAAGAAGGGAGGATAACCAGGATGGAACATTTTGTCTTGTTCAAATAGTTTGATGACAATAAGAGAAATAGTAGGTTATGTAGTCCACTAATATGGTAAGGAATAGGTGGAGATAGTTAACTAATAATTATGATGCTGAATTTTGTTCTACATACTATAGACAGATTTCATCTGGTTGAGTTGCAAAGGAAGAAAACTCATGTCTTTATTCATAGGGTAATAAACACTTCATGAAACATCAATAACTATGAAAGTAAAAGCTTGTATATGCATTCCGGCAACTAGTTAGACTCGAAACCGGCAATTTTCAAAAATCAAGAGTTGACGTTAAGAGCTACAAGGATAAAAGAGGTCGAATAGAAATTGATGTATAACAAATAACTAACAGCCATTTTCTTAGATAGTTAGCCCAATGGTAAGGTTTCAATAAGTCAACAACAAGATTTTAGTAAATGCCTTCTTATGGACTAGGACATATGTTAATTGATAGTGTAACAAGTAATGATCAAATGAAAATTCTAATAGCTAAGTCAAACCAAAAGAATTTGCATAATTTTTTTTTTTTTATGTACTCAGCTGGACCTCAGCTCCAACTGAAGACATGACCTTAGATAGGAGGGTGTGGAGGTTGCAGATTAGGTTAAGAAGATTAATAGGTAGTGGAGTGTTCTCTTACTTTCCAAAGAGTTTTGGCTTAAGTGGTGTCTGTCGTAGTAGTAACGTTATTCTTGTAGTGACTTGCTTTTGCTTTCTACCACCATCTATTTTTATGATGTTCCGATTATTGCATTATTTTGTTGTTGTTACTCTTTTCATAGTAGTTGCTATATTATCTTCTCTGTCATTTTTCCTTTTCATACTTACTCTGATTGCTATACTCGAGTCGAGGGTCTTCCGGAAACAGCCTCTCTACCTCCACAAGGTAGTGGTAAGGTCTGCGTACACTCTACCCTACCCAGACTCCACTTTTGGGATTTCATTGGGTATGTTGTTGTTGTTGTTGTATATTTAATAGATGTTGAATCCCCTTGATTTCTTTGTGCGTTTATTTTCTTATATTTTAATAACTCCGCCACTGCGTGGGACAGTGAAAAATGTCTATGACTGCTTATAAATTACTTCCCCATGATCTTAGGTGCTGACAATGTTGGAATGCCAAAGCCAAAAAAACCTGAACAAATGCTTCAACTTCTGCAGCATTTTATCAAACACTCAAACCAAATTAGACAAATACATTCCCTGCTCACAACGAGCGGCCGTCTCCTCCTTACCTCTCAATGGATCAACACACTTCTTTACAACACTCTCATCAGGGCTTATCTCAACATTTCTCAGCCTCAAACAGCTCTCATCCTTTTCACCCACATGCTCTTTCATCAAGCTCAGCCGAATAGCCATACTTTCCCTTCCCTTATCAAAGCAGCCTCGTCTTTCCCTCCCCGTTTGGCTTCATATATAGGCAAGAACCTTCACTGTCAAGTCTTGAGAAGAGGGGTCTTGGGTGACCCGTATGTGTGTACATCTTTCATTGGGCTGTATTCGCACACGGGTGAACTCGGGAGTGCACGCAAGGTGTTTGATGAAATTCCGGAACCGTGTGTTGTCTCGTATAATGCAATGCTTGATGCTTGTGGGAAAAATGGGGATATGGGTTTGGGGTTCTTGATGTTTTCTCGCATGTCTTATAGAGATGTTTATTCATGGACTAGTATGATTCATGGGTACATGAAGAACGGGTGCTCTGAAGTTGCTGTTAAGTTTTTCCAGAGAATGATGGTACACGAGGATGTGAAGTGTGGTTTATTGAAGCCAAATGAGGCGACTTTTGTTAGTATTCTTTCTTCTTGCACATTTTTGGATGTTGGTGTGGCATTATATCTCGGGAGGCAAGTACATGCTTACATGGTAAAGAATGAGGAGTTGAGTGTCTTCACGACGACCGCATTGATCGCGTTTTATGGAAAGATGGGTTGTTTGGTTTATGCTTCAAAGATATTTGATGCAATGGTTAGCAAGCAGGTTTGCGCTTGGAATGCTATGATTTCTTCCCTAGCTTTGAATGGAAGAGAGAAGCAGGCATTAATGATGTATGAGAAGATGAGGGCAAAGGGGCTGCAACCAAATGAGATTACCTTCGTGGCTGTTCTATCAGCTTGTGCGCGTGCCAAGCTTGTTGATTTCGGTTTTAAATTGTTTGAAGCAATGTCACATGAATTTGGACTTGTAGCTAAGATGGAACATTATGGTTGTGTGGTTGATCTCTTAGGGAGAGCTGGGTTACTGCAGGAAGCGTACGACTTCATAAAGAAGATGCCCTTTGAAGCTGATGCCACTGTCTTGGGGGCTCTGATGGGTGCTTGTAGACTTCATGGAGCTATTGAATTGGGAAATGAAGTATCACAACTATTGCTTGAGTCGCAACCGAATCATTCTGGCCGTTATGTGCAACTCTCAAGCATTTATGCTGGCGCAGAGAGGTGGGATCATGCTGCTGCCTTGAGAAAAGCAATGCTAGATGCTGGAATACACAAGGTTCCAGCCCACAGTTTAGTTTAGTAGAGCTGATAACTGCAGCAGCTTAGTGATGGCATCTCTACTCATCAAATTCAGCTAAAAGGATTCTGCATATGGATTTTGCACAGAGATTGAAGCACTGCTTCAGATCAAGGAGGATACATTAAAGAAACCTGGTTTTAAAGTCTGTTTGGCGAGGTATTTCTTTTTGTTTTCTACTTTTCTTTTTCTGAATCTTTATCTTTGCCTCAAAACTTTGAAATTATGGTGCGGTTTGCTAATTAAATAATCTGAACAATAGTTGATCACGATAAACATCACCTATAGGCAAGCGGTTCTGCTTGACTTCTACCTAAATGAAATGTCAAATCCATATGGATTTGGATCACTAGCAATTCTATCACTTAATTGCGTGTTCATGTCTAATCTTAGTTAAGGCTTTAAACATTATTGCAGGTCTCTATGCAAGTGGTTGTTTGGGACTGATGCATAGTTGCTGTTGTGTAGCAGTAATACTTGATTAACTCAATCGGTACCGCCTACCTCCCACCAACACAGATAGTGGGTAACTCAACCACCAACACAGGTCAGCTTGTGTTCTGCTAGGATTCTAACCTTGGTTTCTAAGGTTGTTTCTCCTATTTTTCAACTCCTAGACGAAACCCCATTGTGGTTGTCGTTGCTATTCAAGTTATTGTATGTTGAACAATATCCTGACAGATTGTCACATGTTTTACTATGATCCTGTTCTTGGGCGTTGTACGTGATCCCTAAACAGTATATTATCAACCAGTAGAACTTTACCAATTCATCTTATTTACACTCAATGCATTGAGTAGCCCATGAGGCCGTGTTGGATACTATAGCGTGTAATGCTGAATTCGTTATATAGTGTTGGTTGCTGTGACAGAACTTTTCTTACTCCTTTAACAACCCTACCCCCACTCCCACCCACAACTTTGCCTTTCTATTACAAAACAAAAGAAGAGAAGAAAGTTTCTACTTTGCTTTCTGTCAAATGTTTATTAAAATGTAAAGTTATACTTTCAGCATGATCTCAGGTCCATTAGTCCATTTTTGTACAAAAGAAAATTAAAAAATGAAGGTCACTTTTTAAAATTTTTGGAGTAAATTCACATATTCGCCTTTTCTTTTTTTAACTTCTGAAATAAAATTTGCACAATTAAAAAGTTCCATGAAGTACTCTTCAAATGATAATCACTACTTATGTATGATTATTTAGAGTTCATGTAGTTAGATGCTGGAATACACACAAGGTTCCAGCCCACAGATTTATTTAGTGGAGCTGATAACTGCCGCATCTTGGTGATGGAATGTCGACTCATCAAAATCAACTAAGTCATAGCTTGACAGATCTGGTTCCAAAGTCTGTTTGCCCCGAAACTTTGAAATTATGGAGCGGTTTGCTGATTAATTAATGAATCTGAACAATAGTTGATCACGATAAACCTCACCTATAGTCAAGAGCTTCTGCTCGATTTCTTCCCAAATGAAGTTTGAGATCCATATGGATTTCGATCACTAGAAATTCTATCAATCAATTGTGTGTTTATGTCCATCTTATTTTGGGCTTTGAACATTATTGCAGGTCTCTATGCAAGTTATTGTTTGGGGCTGAAGCGTAGTTTGTTGTTGTATAACAGTGATGCTCAGGTCAACTAGTGTTCTATTCGATTAATTCAACTGGTACTGTCTACCTTCCACCAATAGAGATATCGGGTAACTCTGTCATCCGAGAGTTGGATGGGAAGAGTTGAAGGCTCTTTCTACAACTCTTCAAAGAATGTTGAAAACACAGGATGTTGTCTATGTGAGGCTCAGGCAGTAGAGAATAATGCAAATCTTTTTCCTAACGTTTCTTTGATCTTTTGATGAAGTACCATCATGAGTCGGAAGAAATATATTTTCAAACTCTGAAACTTCAGATTTTTATGTTTCCGAACTTAAAGTAGAGTGTTCTATGTTTGTGTTATGATGTCATGTGAAAGAGTTGAATGAAATACTATGTTTTTAGTAATGACACATATCATCTGATTAATAATCTAAAGATTCAAGTTTATGTCCAGTTTCTGTATATCATCTGATTAATGATCTAAAGATTCAAGTTTATGTCCGGTTTCTGTTTATCAGTCGAATTTATATCTACATGCCATAGACAAATATAAACGAAATCTGGTTGAGTCTCAATGGAAGGGAAAGTGATGTCTTTATTCATACGATAACAAATACTTTATGGAAACATCACAAACTATGAAAGATAAAGGCTTTTATTTGCAACTTCAGAAGCTCTGTAGACATGAATCCTGCAATTTTCAAAAATGAAGAATTAAAGGTAAGAGCTTTGAGGATGAAGGAGGTCGAAAATACATTGATATATAAACAATGATCTTAAGAAAGATAAAAAACAAGTTGAATACCTGAAGTCACTATACACTAATATCTTTTCTTGTGCCTTTTCATTCTTGTAGTAATTCTGTGTTCCAATTGCACAACCAACCTCAAAAACCATATTGGATATTGAGTTGACAACATTATGTATATTATGGACAGTCCAATAACTAGACCACAACCGTAACCCATGAGAACCGCTTGCCAACTGATCATTGGTGAATCTTCTTCTTGATCTAGCTCAGCTGGAGTTGTCGCTTGATCATCACTGACACAATGTTTTGAGAGTGGCAATCCACGTAACCCATCATTCCCTTGGTATGAACTGTTCTCAAACGTATCAAATTGTTTTCCTTTGGGGATGCATCCAACAAGATGATTGTGAGAGAGATTTAAGACTTCAAGTGACGTGAGGGACACAAGTTGTTGCGGAATTTCTCCACTGATTTTGTTAGATGAGAGATCCAATGATTCGAGGACAGATAAATTTTGCAACGATGCTGGTATATGACCTTCCAAGACATTATGAGATAAGTTCAAGGTACGAAGTCCAACGAGATCTCCAATAATGTTAGGAATATGACCTTTAAATCTGTTCTTTGAGAGATTGATAATCATGTTAGAATCCAAAATTCGAACAGAATCATAATCTTGTCCCTTTGTTGTAATTGTCGTCAAATAATCATAATAACCAGCAAATTGATCAGAAACATACTCTGGGGTTCTTGTACTCTCATCAATTTTCTTCATGGCTTGCAAATTCCCAAAAAGACTTATTGGTAGATTACCACTAAATCCATTGGATGATATATCCAGAATTTGAAGCCGAGCAAAGAAGTTTGTATTCCCTGAAGATTTAATGGGACCATGAAACTTATTTGATCTCAAGCTTAAAATCTGCAAATCAGGTAGATTTCCCAACCAGTTTGGAAATGTGTCATTCAACTGATTGTTACCTAGATCAAGAAGGGTCAAGGACTTGCAATTGATCAAAGATCGTGGGACTTTCCCCGTTAGCTTATTCCCATGTAATCTAATGACCCGGAAATAATTTTCAAGACTAAAATTTGTATTGATTGTCCCACTAGGATTGTTGTTGCTCAAATTCAAATTCCAAAGGTATTCATTCATCTCAACCAAACATTTTGGGATTGTTCCCTCCAAATTGTTACTTCCTAAGTCTAGAGCTATTAGTGTTTTCAGATTGCAGATAGTTGAAGCAATCTGTCCACTGATATTATTGTGCGAAAGGAGAAGATATGTTAGGAGTGGCTGGTTTAGGAGTGAATTTGGTAAAGGACCTTGCAGCTGATTTTGTCTTAGATCAACATGAGACAATGTGTTGGACTTGAACTCCTGAATTTTTCCACCGAGATGGTTATCACTCAAGTCTAAATAAGTTAGTGAAGAAAGGGAGAATATCCAGGAAGGTATAGTCCCATTCAAGTGGTTTGATGACAATTCGAGCCATAGTAGGTTTTGTAGTCCACTTACATTGGTTGGAATTGGACCAGTTAGGTAATTGGATGAAAAATATAATGCTTCAAGTTGCGTCCAGTTTCTGTTAAAGGATAAGAACTCAAGTCGGCCAGCGAAGTTGTTATATCCAAGGTATAACTCCCTAAGCTTTCCAAATCTCGAGAACTGGGAAATCGGTCCTTCAAGATGGTTATAACTAAGGGACAACCACTCTACGTGGGTGAGATTCCATAGAGATTTAGGAATAGGCCCTGACAGATTAGAATAACCCATGTCCAAGTCATGAAGTGAAGTTAGATGGGTAAATGATTCAGGTATCCTACCAGTAATATTCACATGATAGAGATACAAGTACATGAGTGATGCACTGCTATTCCATTTGGTTATGGGAAACCTAACTGTGAGCTTGTGATTGTATGACAAATCGAGAGTTTTTAAGTTGGAAAGGTGGAAAATTCTTTCGGGCAATACCCCATGTAAATGTGTGTCTGAAAGTTCTAGAGTTGTTAAATGAGAAGAAAAATTTGAAGGAATGGTGGAAGAGATGTTCACACCATAAAGGGCAAGCTCTCTTAATTGGGTCAAGTTCTGAAGGAGCAGTTCAAAATTGTAAGGCCCAAGACTAAGACTAAGGTCATATAAACCACCCGAGGGGTTCCATATACAAAGAACGTGTAATTTAGAAAGGTGAGATATTTCAGAAGGGATTAGACCTGTAAAATTTGAATGCGACAAATCAAGATGTGTCAAACTTGAAAACTCACCAAATTTAGGTGAAATGAGCGATCCAGTGAAATCATTATACGACAAATCAAGTCTTTTGAGATTGAAGAGTTGAAAGAGGCTACTATTGGAATGAAACTTGCCTTGTAGTTCGCTGCAACGGAGATCAAGCTCAATCACTTGTCCTGTCGTCTTGTCACAATGAACTCCATTCCATGAGCAGCAATCCATGCTCTTTTTCCATGAACGAGTTTTTGGATGAGAAAACTCACAATCATAAGAAGCATCAGGATTAATGGTAAACATGTGCTTGAATTGTAGAAGAGAAAGAGCTTGATCTTTGGGGCACAAGGATGACGAGAAAGCAAGTTGACAAAGAACGGTATATAGCATAAAAAATAAAAGTTTTACACAACCCATTTTTGCTCTAAAATGATCAAAACTAATTAAGTTGGTAGAGAAGAAATCAAGAAATGTTTGTTGTGTGTCTATATTTAGTAAGTTTGATGAGGTATATATAGCACAAACTAAGAAAAGAAATTTACTATGTACATTTAGTTGTTGCTTTGGAGTAATCAATTTCAGGAAGGTCACCTTGTCATTTTCAGTCAATTTTAGAGTTATCAATTACATATTCACATTCAATGTGTCACACAATATGTAAAGACTATCTCAAGCCGTTGCGCCGTAATTTAAATGAATGTTGGAAAGTATCAATAGTTCACATTCTCAAGTCAACTCAAAGATGTCACTAAAAAGGTCTTTGTTTTGTCGATCTCTTAACAACCCTCCACACACACACACACACAAATGACATGTCCTGAGTTTATTTGTCTACTTTGGTTTCGAGCATAAGCTCAACAATGCGTCTATTTCCTAGAATTTATTGTGACAGAACTTATTCTTTTACCTGAATAGCTACCTCATTGAGGAGGGTATAAAATCCAACTTGAAGGGATTTTTATCAATTTTTGTTTTAGAAAGATAAGCAATCTCCGTTTCAACATTAGTAAATCAACAACAGCTTCTGGACTGTTTCATACAGGTGCAAATTGTGGCTCAAAACAGTCCTCCCAATGGATATGACCTTTTAACACAATAATAGGACCTTTTCGTCCATTCAGTTTGTTACAAAGAAAATTAATAGTTCCAAGTATGAAGGACATTTTAATTTTTTCGAAGTAAATTCAGATATCAACTTGTTTTACTCTTCAAGCTCTTTGAGATTGAGGAGTTGAAAGAGGCTACTATTGTAATGTTGAATTCATTGATAATAGTAACAGAAGATTATCCTTTTGAGACCATGAGGCCGTGTTGGATACTAGATTTTCTGAGTTGTGGACCAAAAGATTTCCGTTTCTGATATCTTCGTTTTGGTTCCCTTAACAACCCTGCCCCCACCCCCCACAGAACTTTCCCTTTCTATTACAAAACAAAAAAACGAAGAAGAAAATTTCTACATTACTTTCTCTCCACCTCAAGATACACATGTTAAAGCATTTGACCTTGTGTTTGTTAGCAAATTCAGCTTTTAAGAAAAGAATGAGGGTTTGTTCTAATAAAAATATCAAGCTCAATTCAAATGTTTATTAAAATAGTAAAAGTTATGATATTCACCTGTTGTCCATCGACTCTGTCTTTCAACATGATCTGAGGTCCATTAGTCCATTTTTCGTTCCAGAGAAAATTAAAAATGAAGGTCACTTTTTAAAATTTTCATAGTAAATTCAAATATCGACTTCTTTTACTTATCTCTTCAAATGAAAATTACTACTTATGTATGAATATTTAGAGTTGATAACACAACCATAAAGGAATTTAGGCATGTAGGAGAATTTGATCCCTTTGAAATGAATGTTTACAAGTGATGGAAGTGAATTAATTTGTCTACTTTGTGTTCCCACATCTCAGGGAAGTGATGAATTAAGTAGAAAATTGTGCATGATGTCGGTCTATTATCACAATTCGTCTTGTTAATTGGCTTGGATCTGCACTTCTGGTGATTTTAAGGTCTTACTTTTTTGTCCCAAATTGATACTCCCCCAGTCCATAACAAGCCCTTTTATTTAAGTAGCGTCGACTTTTTAAAGTTGTTGAAAGTTATTAACGAAATTTCTTAACTCTACGTATTCAATATCTTAAAGTTAAGAATCAATCTCTTCTAGCATATAAAATTACATATCTCACAATTATTGGCATATTTTTACACTTTCCTTTCAACTTCCTACCACTATAATCTCTCCCAATACTCAAAACAATATGATAAATTGTTATATGGAAAGAAGAAGAATCTTTAAATTACTCTTTTACCTGGTTCTAGAAAGAGCTCGACTACCTCATTTTGTCTGATACCTTATTATAGATAAACATGTCACAAAAAACATCGTTGTTTTACTCTCTTAACAACCCTCCACACACACCACATGACTTTCCCTTTTCTATTTACCAAAAAAAAAGAAGAAGATAATTATCCGGGAATAGGGTCACCACAAAACTTAACAGAAACACTACAATAGCGCCAACTCTGAGAACAATCAAGAATGTGTGGTTCGTTTATCACTTTATATCTTAGGAATTTACTCTGAATACAGTGCCTTACGTAGTGCGCCGTCTCGAGCCAATTTTCCACGAGAATTGACCTGTTGATGGAAGAGTACAGTGAAGGAGTCCATACATGGTATGTTAATCATAGACTCAGTACCACTGATTCATTGAGATAGTTTCTATCTTCATGGAAGTTATAGGTGAGTGTGAGACTGCTGTTCTCGTCTTCTTGGAGAGTAGTGTCACGCCCCGAGCCTACACCCTGGGCGGGACCCGCACCCGGAGACCATTTCTGGCCCCAAACGAACCCTTGGCCTGGCTTTCTTAACTCAGCGAAAACCTAACCCAACAGAATAACTCAATGCAATGCTATATTACAAAACAACTTAACTTATAAAATATGGCCATAAAGGCAACTCGAATCTCAAAATAGAATTTTACATATATATATATATAGATGAGAGACTCAAAACTAACTGATTGACTGTCTGTCTATGAAGCCTCTAAAATACTGAGATGGAAGTTGGGACAGACCCCGCAACATCCTAATAAAACAAAAACTAAGAACACAAAATAATTGAGTCCTCCGGAAGGCAAGGAGGCTCACCACTGACTCTGGAGTGTTCAGCTGGATCAACGACTTGCAGGATGCTGATCCGGGGTACCTATATCTGCATCATAAGACGATGCAGGCCAACTGGCATCAGTACATGGAATGTATGAGTATGCGAGCTGGAAAACTAAGCAACATAGGCTAGAAGGAAATTTGGAAGAAACTGAAAAGTTTACCTTGCTCAACTCAACTCAACCTGGCTGACTTCTTTCAATATAAGGCAATTTAAAACAAGTGCGATATAAAGAAAGACTGTTTAAAACATGCTATAAACTCTGTGTGTATACAAAGATACAATAAGCCTGAAATGTATATAGAAATACAATGAACTGATGTATATAAAAATACAATAATCTCTGTGTATGAAAAATACAATAACTGCTGTGGGAGTTTCTCTAACCGACAACCATCACATAAGAGCTATAGTGATGATACAACGATCGACCTCACGCTGCCAGAGCATCTTATACCCGGCCAAAGGTATAAGACCTGAACTGCCTAATGGATCCACTAGTCTAATCTGAAAAGGATTCATCTAAAAAGTATGATCCTTTTCTACCCATGGTGGCTAACATGGTTCTATGGGGGTTGTGGGTTCTTTGAACGCTCCACCAATTCGGTGCTCGATACTACTCCCAAAAATGTACTGGCTCTTATATTTTTAAAACATATTTATTCCTGCTGATATGAGATAATTACTCAAAAACTAGCCCGAAGGCTCTTTTGGAAATCTCAGTTTCCAACCTTGTTTAAATGTAAAAACATTTCTTTAAAACTTCTTTGGGAATGCATAGTTCCCTAATAACTTTGAGAAATAAACCCAACTTTAAACTCTTTACTTTACTTGAACTCTTGGCTTGATGTGAAACTCTTAACTTAACATGAAACTCTTAACTTTTGACTTGACTTGAAACTCAATACTTTTGACTTGACTTGAAACTTGAGTCTAAAAAATGAAGCTAAAACATTCACTAAAGACTCTTGAACAACTTTAAAAACTTGCTTTGACTTACTTCACTTCTAAGCTTAACTCTTAACATCACTTGACTTCTAACTTTACTTGACTTGGAACTAACTCTCCTTGAATTGGAATATGAACTCAAGGGTAATGATTTGTGTTTGGAAGGACCCCATGATGATTAGGAATAATTTAGGACAGCTAGACTTAAGAAAAATTTCGAAATTTAATTCTGAAAACAGAACAAATTCTGTTCATAGAGGGAACACAGCTGCAACGCAGACTTGTTTCCTGAAAGCAGCTTGACTTTTCTCCTTCATGTTGCCAATTCTAAACCCTTTTAACTTCAAGGGTTCTTTTCCCAAACACATGGGGTCATAAACCCCTCAACATACAGTGGATTCCACTCAAAAACACAACCAAATCCTGTCCCAAATCAGCAAGAACTTTAACAACACAACCAACAACTTCAACAACCAAAATAGATCTTTTCTTGGAATTAAAAACGAGTTGGTGTGTGGGGGTATGAACCAACCAACACTAAGGATCATAAAATCCCTCAATATACAATAGATTTCAGCTCAAGAACACAACCAAATCATGTCCCACAACCAACAATAACTTCCACAACACAACTAATAACATCAACAACAACTAACAACTTCAACAACAAATCCAATCTTTTCTCAAATCATAAAATGAGCTTGGTGTGTGGGGGAAAGGATCAACCCACACTAAAGAACTCACATACCTTGATTGGGATCACCCCCGACGAAATTCCACGACGGAAACTTGTTGATCTCCTCTTTCTCCTCTTCTTCTCCTCTTCTTCTCTTCTTCTTCTCTTCTTCACTCTCAAGAATCCTAACTTTCTCTCTTTTAAAATGGAACAAAAATGATTCACAAACAGCCTAACACAACAATATAACCTCAAAAGAAATGATTTGTGAAAAGACCAAAATGCCCTTAAATTTCCGGACGGACTCCCTGTCAACTGCCCCAACTTTCAAAGGGCATAACTCGCTCATACGAACTCGGAATCGAGCAAACTCTGTGGCGTTGGAAAGATCATTCCACAAGCTTCACAACCATAATTGGAAATACTCGTAAATCATCCTGAGCTAGGAGTTACGACTACTCAAAGTTGGCCAAAAACTCACTGATTTCCACACTTTGCCAAATTTTCCAGATTCTGAATTTTTCCAAAAAAATGACTACTTCCAATTTCAAGCTTCTTCATATTCATTTTAAATTGTCGGATGTTACAAGTAGAACGGAGGAAACATGTTGTTATATTCCTCTAAG